CTGTGGAATAACAGCGATCAGCTGGCCAATGCGCAAGCTCGATGTTAGGAAATTCACATTTGAGCCAAATTGCAACTTCGAGAAAATCACATTTCTAAGCGGCATTTCCATGATAGCGCACGAGTCCTCTTGTTGGGGGGTTATACACTACAAAAAACTCAGGAAAGAACGTGAAATACTACACCCATATTTACCCAAAAATGGTGTTGCACGAATGGCTGCCACCACTACATGCACATCAATCAATCAATAAAAAGATGTACATGAGGCACGCCCAAGCTAAGCTTTACTTGCCCTCATTTCCCCGACAAGGAGACGTGATGATAGTGGTTTCTAAAGCAGCTAAGTTCAGTCAGCACTTCTAAATTGCCAATTTTGGCTCTGAGCTGCAATGACAGTGCAAATCGTACAGATGCTGCCCGCATCATGAAGCAAGATGTGCAACTAGTTTTTGCGATGGCCACCGCATCCACATCGAACGGCGGGCACCTACGGGGAGCTATCAAACTGACCTGGTTTTAGAAATGCCTTCATGCATTTTTCGTGCCTCACAGCTTGTCATTTGTCTACAGTGCCTACAAGAGAGGCAACAATGCAGTGCACCAATATGCACCGCAGTGGCCACTTCAGTTTCCTCAGAATTGTCGTCTCTTCATCTATGTGAGTGTGTGTGTTTGTGAAGGCAACAGGTGCGAACAAAAGGGTAGGTTTCAAAAAATTTACAAGCGTTTTTTGCAGCCTCAAAGGATATGTTTGACGTGACATCAGAAAGCACAAACTTGTGGCAAAGTGTGATATGAAATGGCAATGTGTACAGCAAATTACCTCAAACACGGAAGTACACACTATCAACGTTTTGTATGCATCATTTTGCCTGTACCAAGTAGACAATGAAATTTGAGAACAACGTGTGTGTGATGGTCAAAATTTTCACAACCAAATGCAATGAGCACAAGAATAACGTACAATTATCCAATCATGTTGCAATTAGTGATGCCGCGCAGCAATTGTGAAAGTTTTCGGTGCTGCAGTTTAGCTCTATTCATAGACATTGCCTGGGCTACTTGAGTGCTCGAGTGATTTTGTTACATGCCAGCTTTGAGCATATCTTACCTGTCACCTGCAGTTAAACCTGCCTATAACTAACCTCCATATAACGAATTCGCCGATATAATGAAGTTTTTATTTTCCCTGCCGTTGCTCCATAGAAGCACATGTATTTGCAACCTCTATGTAACAAAGTAACAGTGGGAGACAACTTTGATATAATGAATTTTCCCCCCAAACAATCTAGAAATTTTGCTCCGCATTTTGGCGTTTTGGTAGGAGCGTGCATCTTTCGTGGCTGCCTGGCCGTCGACAAAGCGCAAAGTGGGGGCGCACGGTGCACCAGACGAGAGAGAGCGGTCGTTATTGCATGCGAGTGTGCGCGAGGCGGGCATGCACCCTACGAGCTGGCGTTGATGCCGTTCTCGCCGTCGCAGGCGCATGCGCAAGTGTGCCCCCCCAACTCCAAACTAAAATTAAAAAAAAGAAAACCACAAAAGAAAACCACTTTTGCGCGTCCACGCATTTAGTTAGCGTCACATATGTGGGGCCACGTTACCTATGAAGGGTGCTTTACTGAATAGTTTTTCGCAGTATCCATGTCTGTGCCTGTGTCGTTCGCTCTTCATTTCCGATGCTGTTCGTGGGTGCATAGTTTTACTGCGCGGGCATAGTGCGGCCCTAAGGACGATCAGCTTCTTTTTATATATTATTGTGATAGCAATTATATGGACAGTCTCGGCTGCATTTTTTTTTTTGCCGCCGACACCGTTATTCACCATATATGTATATGTGTCTATATATATATATGATAACGCGTTCAATGCTCGAACGCGTTATTCGAAGGTCGTAGGTTCGATTCCTGCTCACGGCTGGTTATGTTATTATATTATTATATATATAATTTATATATATTACATATATATTGTATATATAATTATTATATATTACACACACACACACACACACACACACACACACACACACACACACACACACACACACATATATATATATATATATATATATATATGAGATATAACAGACAGTAATGCCAAGGAATGTACAGGGGAAGTTATTAAAATCAATGGAATGTAAATAAGAAGAAAGAAAAGTGGATGAAAAAATTACCAACTGTGAGCAGGAATCGAACCTACGACCTTCGAATTACGCGTTCGATGCTCTCGAGCATCGAACGCGTAATTATATATATATATATATATATATATATATATATATATATATATATATATATATATATATATATATATATATATATATATATATATATATATATATATCAGAAAAAAAAGTCGCCTGTGCTTGGCGTCCTGCAGCTCGTCACAATGTGCTGACGCGCACTTACGTCCCACGTGTACTTTGCCCCGCGAGGGGGGTTAGATGCTTGTGCGCGCGTGTGCTTATCCTTCGATGAGGAAAATCGCGCACCTTCGACTTTGACCGGAAAGATTGCGTTTAGTTGCTAAGCGCACAAAGATCTCTTCACTCGCTAGGCAGGTGCGCTTTGCGAAAAGAGTGCACTTTTCAAACACAGTGCAGTAACAACTGGGGCACTTGTTAGTTCGCACTTATATCTGCACCTGTGATTATGTTTCATGTCTCGTTTTAGTGTAAACAGCGCGTTAAGTGTCCAGCGGTAAAGTTGTTAGTTCGTTCTCGTCCTGTGTATGTTGTTTTCGTGCGTGATTCGTGCATGAGCAGCACGCTGCACATTTCAATCTGCTTGTCGTTCTCAGTGTTACGTTCCAAGTTATTGCTATCGCATTCATTGCTTCGCGCTTGCGGCTTTTGAACAACCGTGTTGTCACCACCGAAGGGATGTCAGATGAGGTGCTAATAGAAACTCTCTGTGACCACGGTGACGCCAGATCTTTGAAGGTCGGCTCGTAATGCGCTTCTGTCTTGCGCCGCGCCGCAAGTTCGCAGGCTAGTAGCTTTTGCGATTATCCGATTAGTTCTGGCAACATGACGGTGCCTTGAATGCAATGCTATGAAGGCGATAGCAAAAAATTGTAATGTTATAAGAAATAAGGCTGGCAGCCAACTCTTTTGGATCCGATATCGCGGAAATTGTACAAAACGCTGGTGTCAGCAAATACGGCTGCTCCAGGGAAAAGTGCTCGTTCAAGATGGGTGGTTTACTTTGTTTGAGCACGCGAAGGCGGTACTAACACGCAAGAGATGTTATCTTATGCAGTTTCCAAGCGATATGGGATAGGCCGACTCTTTTGATTTCTGCTTCAGCAGCGCTCGTGAAAGTTACGATGCGTGAGGGCATGTTATCAATTTGGGCTTTTTAGGGAACATGGCGGCAACAGCGAGAGCCCGCCGAGAGTGTCCATACAATTGCTATCACAATAATAACGTAGTTTTTTACTGTAAAATAAGTGTGTTGGGTTAGCTTTTCAGTCCCCTTTGTTTATTTTTGTGTGTTTATTTTTTTAATTTTCGGGCTGAACCTGCATATAATGGAATCCTCTTTATAATGAATTTCCCTCGGAATTTATCAATTTCATTATACCCAGGTTTAACTGCAATACTAGAAATTGCGTGATGTGAGGTTTTGCTTGTACGTGCAGCGCTGTCATGGTGCAAAACCTGTACAGGTAGAGTAAATGTTGCTAATCTGACCTCCTTTTGCCTTGCTGTTTTAGCAGGAAACTTGGCCTTTGCCTGAAATTTTGCTTCAAGCGAATGCAGCCATGACACCAGCCTCGAGCGAAGAGGGTGCGAGAATGAAAGAGCAAGAGCGGCAACATCCGAGCTCTTCTGTTTCACAGGTTGGTGCCTCAAGCCTTCTTCTGCCAAGGCCAGCAGGACACGTCTCTCATTGTGCTCGGTCGGCTCAAGGTCATTGTGACACGATGAATGAACTTGTAAGACATGGTGCGATGAAGCTCCACGTCTGTTATGTGATGTCCCGCTGTTATTTTGAACGGTGACGTCCAGTGAAAGTAATTTTCCCCAATGAAAACAGCTGTGTCCCATCCTTGTGCCCGCGCAAGCCTGTGACTGCAAGTGCGACAACGGAAAGATATCAGGTGTATGTTGACCAGGAAAAGCTTCCACTGACCAAAAACGGGAAATATCAGCTTTTAGACCGGCTGAAGCTACTCTGTGTGGGTAGAGCTTGACTAGGTAATGACCCTGAATACGCACACGCGCGAACGAGGCGTTTGTAGAAGCACACGAACTTCCAGGAGAATAAATTTTCTATTCTAAGAAGACATCCTGTCACATTCTCTACTTTTCTAATCGTCAACCCAGGGGAACGCAAGTACATATTTTGCGCTCGTGAATATTTAGTTGACATTTGATTTGAATAAATGTGTTTTTTTTGTTTCAGACAGAATCTGAAAGTTGTCGTGAGATGCGGGGTCGGCGTAAAACTGCACCGTATAAACAATGTTTTTAATACATTATTTTTATGGACATTTTGCCGGGACCAATCTGATTCGTTGTAAAATGCAGGGGACGTATAATTGAAGTTTCACTGTAACTTTACATGCCTAAAAGGCTCGATACCAGCCACATGTTATCGTGTTGATGCATTCTCTTTGAACCGTGACCCATGGAAATGCTTTGTCCGTTGCTGCTAAACAAACTGCTCGAGCAGAGGATCAGTACAGTTGAAGAATACTGAAGTCATCAGTGAGCTGTGTGTTTTAATCATGCAAACAGTGCTTATCGAGGGTGCATCTCTTGTGGTATAACACTGGTTGAATCCTGTGCATGGCCCTTTGTTTCAGTGTAAGCTAGATGTCGAGTGCACTAGGTGCAATAAAATTACTTGCAGAAGGACACAACAAAGAGGAAACAGCGATCATGTAGTCTCTTCTTGTGTCTTGTCCTTTTGAGCTATTCCAGAATGTGCCCAACAAAGCATTTAGTACTGACATTGCTGTCTCTTAGAGCTAAAGCAAGCCTCTCACCGTGTTTGCCCGATACGATGAACCCTCCCAATGGCTTGCAGCTCATCCCCGAGATTGAGAATGGGTTCCACGAGGAGCACATGAGTGGCTTCAGTCAGGTTGAGGCCCTTAGCTCCCAACGAAAGTGGAAGCACAAGTACCATGATTGATGGATCATGCCTGAACAGGGCTAAATTATTCTGGAAAATAGAAAAAATGCACACACAGTCAGAGTAAACGCATAATATTAAATGGTATTGTTATACCACTTAATATTAAAAGGTATCATTATACCACTGTTGTGAAAGGGTGGCGCTGTATGTTGGACATAGAGTCACTGCTACTCTAAACATGGCCATCACTCATGCACACGTTCACAAGCAGTTGCAAGCACTTCTGTGCTTTGTGTTGGTGCACAGATGCTGCTCTTGCATGGTTGCTTGTGGCATGTATCGTTCTTTGAACCTGTAGTGGGCAAAAGATATTTTGTCCCATACTGCAAGATTGTGTACAAGTCATGCGGGGAGGAGTACTAGTTTCCTGCCCTGAGAGACAACAAAAGACTGGATACACAATGCGCTATTACATGCAATCACTTTATCTATATAAAAAATTACAAAGTGACCATTGACTGCCTTTGCCCCCGTGCATCATCCTGTATCATCCTACAAGCTGTTGCAGGCACTGTTGAGACACCTCTGACATAGCTTGACCCAAGTTAGAACGTAGTCAGCTTGTGGTCTCCAAACATTACTGTCAGCTAAGAAATTGTGGTATTGTTTTATTACTTCCAGGTTTTCATATAAATCTACTTTAGAGCAAACAAAAGTCAGCAATATTTTTATAACTTCAATGTTTTTATAAGACATCCCCTGATTAGTGCCTATGGCAGTCGGTGGTGCCACATTGTCATATTAGGAGTGCAAGAAGGCCGTACTACTACGTTGCAAAAGCTGTTAGCAACACTGCCAAAGGTTTGGAGCTCTTTCATCCAAACAATGCTGTAGGAGCACAACAAATAGTCTCTCAGGTCTCTGAGCGATTCAGGACTATAGTGCACTCTAAAAACATGGAAAATGAGAACGTTATTAAAGGGGTGGTGCCACCACTTTTGTGGCTTGTGTGTTGTTTACTGCAAGCGTTGCTTATAGCTCCAGGAAACATGATACACGCACCAAGATTAATTTACTCTTGCTAAATAAATTGATATTGCCTCTTCTATGTGGACAGTTTTAAATTTTGGTTTCTGGGCACTGAATCCGGCTGTGACGTGTAAGTGTAGCTTGGTCACGTGACCACACAAGGCTGTGACGCATGTCGGGCGGATTATTATCCGCTCTCGCTGACTTTCTCACACACACGTGCCGCACAAGCACCTGCAAAACAAATCTGTAGCAGCGGCAATGCTCTGGCAGGCCTGGAACTTACAAGGTGAAGGGCTCCGAAGGTCACTAACGTACCTCACTACAATAGGCGTGCACACGGGAGGGGGGTAAGGGGGCGGCCACTCCCATAGTCACCTGGGTGCAAACACATTCCCACGCGTTGACATAATAACGAGGGAGTGCAAAGTTGGACTCATGCATTAACATAATAAGGAGGGGGTGTGCTGCAATGAACCTGTAGTGCCACCATCACCATCATCATTTCTCAATCACCGCGCCGCGCCTCTCGCGCAGCTGATGCTAGCTCGAGCTGCGTAAGGATTAGAACAAGCTAGCGCACTTGGTGTGTCGGACGTGGAAAGCCTCGCGGCTCCGCTTCAGGCGTGGAATAAAGTGGCGAGAGAACGACACGACCACGTAGGCCGCCATCCCGTCTTCCTCTCTCGCTACGAACCTTTGTTCACACGGCAAACCTACGCATGCCTACGCTCACTGCAGATCTGGTGTAACGTCACTGCAACTTTTGTCGCCCTTTCTACAGAGCTACGACAGTTCTGGACGTGCTTGCGATGGGCTTCGGTCGGAAGAATGAGCATTTAGGTACACTATGGAGGTGAGTTAAAACATGTTTTAAATGTTTGCTGTGTCCGCCGTTCGTGTGGAGTGTCCTAGCATACAAAGGAAACCCCCAAGAGGCTTGTTTGCGCGAGTCGAGTGGCTCACTTGTTTTTTTTTAGTGCGGCAGCTGGCCAAGACTGGCGCGATGCTACATCGGCTCCCCCCCTAGCGGTTTGCGCGATTGGAAAAAGGTACGAAAAAAAAATCGAGAGGGATGGACACTATGTACATGAGTGGAAGTCCAAGATTTGTTCTTCCGGAAGTTCGAGTTGTTACCGTGAAAATTGGTGGGTATCTGAGAGTTCCGGCGGGCGGCACTGGGAGTCGCGGAGAAGGTAAGGTGCGCACCGAACAGATGTTGTAGGCGGCAGTGACGAAACACGTCAATGCACTTGTGGCAACAGGCATTGATGACACCAGCGATTGCCACTGAGAAGATGGCTAAGTGAGTGCGATGCCGAGCTCGATGACGGCTCATGTGGGCAGGCGTCACAAGTCATGCCAGACCGGCGCAGGTGCGAACATTGGTGAGAAGTAGACACTGTCTGCATGGTTACTAGAACGGCACGCCGGAAGAAAAGTTCTGCAACACACACTGCGATCTCTGATGAGCTATAAAGGAAGTGGCAGGCAAGCGCGTCTGACAGAGATGGCCTTGTGGCAGGAGCTCGTGATGCACCTGGATGGTACCGACGTTGGCACATCTTTGTCACCTGGACTTGAGCAGTACACGAGATAAGAACACCATTGTCGAAATTCATGTGCGAAGTGCTGATTTGGCTCAAGTTCCTCTGTGCTGTATTCTGAGGTGCTCAGTGGCATGTCACGCATCGCAGAACGCTCAAGCTGAGCCAGAGCATGGTGCGGTGTGTATGTGGATACGGGACCGCCTTGTACAGCCGGCACAGAAAAACTTGGGTGCAGGACAGCATGCTGACCATATGCTTGCGTGGCTGGTGGATCATGATCGAGTCACTCCACCACAGGCAGAACTGGAGCATTGTCCGCAGTCGTTGCCATGCTAACGGGAGCTTTGCTGCTGGCATGGAAGACGGCAGCTAGTTTGGTTATGGTGCCACACATGGTGTCAGCGAACAGATGACAGGTAGCACCAGTTTTGGTGTTGGACACAATGTCAGTAGGTGCTAAAGTTGTTGTGTTCACCGACATGCCCACAGGCACCGACCGGTCAACAAAAGGCCGATCTTCGGGCGGTGCACGCTGCGATACATCAGCGGAGTCGGTTGTTGTAGGACGGCCACCTACCTCGTTGCTGTGGCATAGCACTGGATGAGACGCGATCAAGAGGAACCGCGAGGAAGGCTTGATCAGTGTAGGTAAAGAAGCACCTTTCGTGGGGTTGATCCCTTGTTGGAGGCAGTGTTCAGCTCGGAAAAACCGTAGGACGGCGTCCCATAGTCTGTTATATGGGTGGGGGCTCCAAGAGAAATAGGTGAGGCGTCATTTGAGGTCGGGTAGAAGAACATACTCCAGGACCTCGAACATGAATTCTTGGTTCCAGATGCTGTTGAGCTGCAAGGCAGCCACGAACTCTTGGAACCATGACTTGATGCAGGAGGGCCGGAACGGAAGTAGACGCGGATCAAAGTGCAGCTGCAAGGCTTCATCTGGCTGGAACATGGCTGCGAAACTCAGTGGCAGTGATGCAGCGCCGGTTGATTGTCCGTTGGTCCGTGGTCACCAAATGTTGAGGGACAAGAGACGAGACGGCAGCTCATGAGGCCGTGCCGTGGTCACAGCTTTTATTTGGGACGAAGGCGTAGACGGGGTTGCAGCAGCAGTGTCCAGCAGGCCAGGAGCTAGGCCTCTCTCCCCGTGGCAAGCGCATCACGAGCCGCGCGGCTCACTTCTTTTTTAGTGCGGCAGCTGGCCAAGTATGGCGCAATGCTACAATGTTTTTAAAGTGTGCAGAGTGTTTCAATCTTTTTGTAAAATTTACCAAGAAAGCCTGCATTTTTACAGCTATGAGGAGGCATGTTGTGAGGGTGTGTGCTCTGCCTATCATAGCTACATGGCGTTGCCCAAGTTGTGTCTTTGCAACACGCCCCACAAGCGGTGTCGCCAGTGAACCTATTATGCAGTGTCCAAAATTTAGCTGGCAAAGCAGATAGCTTTAAACATTCTTTAGGCACTATGCATCAAGTACAGAAACAGTGTAAGTGTGCATTCATCTATCAAATGGCTGGCAAAACTTACCCAGGTGAAGGAGGAAGCAGTCTATCGGTGGAAAATGCTAATGAAAAACGTGGAAATGGTCCTACCACCAGGCAAGCGTTTTGTGGGGATGCATTTGTTTGTAGAAGAAGCTGGACCTGAGTGTCTTGCAAAGGGTGGTGCATTGCTTTTCTGAGAAAGGTGAAACGCCATCCATCACCGAGGTGATACAGGCATTTCAAAGAGGATGAGACACCACTGACTGCAATGACATTGCAAAGGATGCTCAAGAAGAGTTCAGCTTCAAGTACAAGAAATGCACTACTCATAGAAGTGATGCACATTGTGCAGTGTTGCCACCAATGCCACAAAGTAGATGCCAGGGCAGGCCATCACCCACAAATGTGAGTCAACATTGGCTGCAGAAGAGTGTGGATAAATGGCAGTGTCCAATCTAAGCACTAAGTACACTCATTTCGTATGTCGACTGGTTTTTGAAACCCCAGTATCAAAGTCACAGTGTAGAGTTATTGTCACGCTCTGTGTCAGTGAGCATGGTTTCGTACAGGTCAGGATCATTCAGTGCTGTTGCAGTGAGAGTAGGACCCATTACTCTTGGTTTGGGATAAAGTTGAGGATTGATCCATTCAATGCCTGAAATAAACATTTCTTATACGCATTGCACAAACATCAGAAAAAAAATGCTCACATGACAAGAACTCATAGGAACAAATGACTATAAATATAAAATGAAAAAGCACGTTTGGTTCCTTTGAAATAGAAGTATAAAAAGAAAAGTAACAGACTGAGGGAATTTAGGCAAGCCTGCCGCCTTTGCGTGGCTTTTCCCACCTATTTCTGCCGTTCCCGCGTCCCGACACGATTCCCTTCCTCTGCTGTCTACCCTGCTGGGAGAGTGAGGCGTAACCTTTAACACCTCCCACCCGGTAGCGCATGTCGACTGTGGTGCCGCACGCGGTGTCTTCCGAAAGGTATCGCGCGCAGGCGCGTTGGGCGTGACT